AACAATATATACAGTATATATAAATTTTATATTTATATTACTTACTAATATCCTTTAGTAATAGTATACCATATACTATACTATACTATAGTTTACTAATTAATAATTTTTATTTTTAGAAAATAATTAAAATATTATAGAAAAATAATTGGAAATAAAATTTTTCAATTTTTAATAATTATAATAATAATAATTAATTTTTATTTAGCAAATGAAGCAATTGATTTGAATTACAATAACTCTTTTTGTTTGTAATCCTTATTATTATCAATAATTTTTTTTTAATATCTAAAACATCAAATAATTTGTTTACATAGTATTTATTAAAAACAATTTTTTCATCATTTTTTTATCATCAATAAATTCATTATAGCATTATATGGTAATGAATTAAATAATTTTTGTACAATAACTGAAAAAATTAATAATATAATAATAATTAATTAATTAATTAATAATAATAATAATAATAAAATCATTTTGTTTTAAATATATTTATATATATAATAATAATAATAATATATTATATTAAATATATATATATAGAGTAAAATACCATTAAATGTGTCGTTAAAATTGAAATAATGATACCATTTTTTGTTTGAAATAAAAAACATAGGATTTAATGGCTTACTAATTGATAAAATGTGATGTTTTTTTGTTGTTGTTGTTGTTTGTATAGATTTTTAATGTTTTGTTTGTTTGTTTGTATTTATATATATATATATATAATTTTTTTATAAAATGTTATTATTGTATTACATAGTAGTTTCGCAGTTTTCACATATTTATTTTTAACTTTATTATACAAATAATAATAATAATAATAATAAAACAATAATAAAAAAGTTATTAAATATTTCAATTCGTCGTGTTTTGTATTCAATAATTATCAATAATTTTTTATTTTTTTGATGGAAAAAATGATTTCATATTAAAAAACTTAAATAATAATAATAATAATAAAAATATTTTTGACGATAGGTCTCTCTTTAACTATATATATATAAAATATTTGTATATAAAATCTCAAATATTAAACATTTTGAGTGGATATTTGCACCAATTTTTTTAATAATGTATTTGTCTTATTTAAACTTAAAATTTAATACAAAATATCATCATTAAATCTCGATTATATTACTATTATTATTATATTAAAATATTAAATTATTAAAAATGTTAAAAAATTCAACTAAAAAAATGTTAATTCAATGATACAGTCCTAACAATAGTTTGCTATTTTATGACTCAAAATACAGTTTCAATGTTTAGTTTGAAAGAGACTTGACATACAATTTATAGATATATATTCAATATATATATATCTAAATATTCAAAATTTTTGTATATATATATTATGAGAGACCATTGCATTCATCAAATAATATGATTATATTATTTTTCCACAAAAAAAATAAATAATTATCAACAAAAAAAACAAACAAAAAAAACTGTGAGTTTGTGTGTCTCATACAGTATATGGCACCTAATAATAATCATAATAATAATTATATTTATATAAAAAAAACAATAATGTGTGTCTGGGTGATTTTTGTTTTTTTAGAAAAATTAACATTTATCAATTTTGTATTTTTGTTGTATTAAATTTTGTATTTTTTATACACCATATTAGAAAATATGTGTTTGTATGTACTGGTATAATTCAAATTGTATTTCAAATTTCAATAAACAGATAATAATAATTGTTTAGCAATAAAAAATGTGTTTTAAAAAAAATAATTATTTTAATTTCTATCTATAATATCAATCAATTAACTTATGGTTTGTCACTGGAATGTCAAACATATATTATAAATATTATATATATATATAAAAACCAATTGATAGTAAAAAAGCTAGAATTTTAGACTATAGTGTTATATTTGATAAAAATAAAAACTTGTAATTTCATTGAAACTCTTGTTTGTTTGTCCTAAAAAAACATATTGTATTAGAAAATTATTAAAATATTTTATCAGATGATTTAAAAAAAACAATTCAATTATAAAAACACATTTTAATTTAGTACTATTAATATTATCTGTTTATATCATACACATAAACACACATAAACACATATTTTCATAAATAAGTTTTTTTTCAAATAGTTTTATTACAATACTTATCATTATTATTACTATTATTATTATTATTGAAAAAAACCTTTAAAAAAAATTGTTGGTTGAGATGTTTGTTGAGTTGATTTGATTTTTATTTTTTTGGTGATGAATGGATGATAAATGAATGAATAGTTTTGAATTGAATAGTTGTTTGAATTTCCAGTAATTTTTTTCCGGTCTCTCAATTTTTTTGTTGTTTAATTTTCAATAATAATAATAATAATTAATTTATTTATTATATATATATATATCTCGAGTCTTCAATATAATATTAGTTAGTTGTCTTCACATTTGAAGTTATTGATGACTTTTTTTCCACATTGTTTTATATGTAGTTTTTGTTTGTTTTTTTAATATAGAGATTAGGATTTATTTATATTTTGAGAGATGAAAACATATATATATATATATATTGTTGTTGTTGTTGGTGTGTATGTGTGTGTGTGTGTGTAGGTATGTATGTATCTATGTGTAAATGTGTTTCAAATATGTGTGGTATATGAGGGCTGATGGGAGGGGGTTTTTTGAGGACTATTTACACCAGGAGGGCTGTAGGTCATCGCAACCTAAAACATAGAGAAAGAGAAAAAACAATATATTAAAAATAAATTTATATATGATTAAAAAATATATATTATATTATAGCATAAAAACATATAATATGCAAATAGCATGTGTATATGTATAGTATAAGCAATCATCATTATATGGTAGTCATATACAGTATATATATATATATATATATATACATTGAATTATATAAATAATAATAATAATACATTTTTTTCTATCTATACAAAGTTTGCTACTATTTATTAGTTAGTTATAAACTCTCTCTGTGTGTGTGTATGTTTTGAAAGGTTTAGAGATATTTATAATAAATATATGTATATTACATAATAATAATGCAAACTAACTGCAAACATAAAACGTGACTATTATTTGATTGATTAGAAAAGTTAATTTAGTTTGCCTTTCAATAACAATATCACTATATAAACGGCTACTGTTTGTATGTATGTATGTGTGTGTGTGTGTGCCCAACAAATTTATTTTTCTATATAATTTTTTTGGGGGTATATATATATTTGTAATTACTAGACACACACACACACATATATATATATATATATATATATATATATATATATATATATATAAGTGTTGCCAGGGTTTGCCACTAAACAACTTAGAGATACATACATACATATTGTATCAGTCATATCAATGTATTTATAATAACAACAACAAAAAAAGTGATAGACATAAGTGTGTTGTAAACCCTATGTTGTTAAAGATCATCGGGTTTTAGGGGGGGGAGGAGGTTGTAATACACTAATAATGTAAGTGTAATATCTGATGACAGGGCCAAGACATATAGCATTTTTAATACTTGTAATATACAACAGTATATTTAATATTAAATATATATATATATATATATATATATATTGTTGTGTATACTTGTATAGTACAGAATATGTTATTGTAATTGAATAGTCAAAAAAATAAGCTAACGGCACAAACCATATACAGTATAGTATATTATATATATATATATATATATAGAAAAGTTAGCAAAACTAAGGGCATAAATGATGTATTGTGACAAAGAAATTGAATTTAGGCCTCAATTATTGTTGAATTTATTTCATACACACTTTTTTCAAACATATATACTATATATATATATATAGTTTTGATCTCTGGGTTTACTATATATATACTGTATATACTGGACACAGCCATTACTGATATAATCGACTCTCAAAACATTAATATAATTTAATCTAACATTTTTCGAGAGCAAAGAGAGAGAGAAAAAGAGAGAGAGAGAGAGCAATAATGAGTTGATGTCATCAAGTTTTTAAAAATACACTAAAACTTATTTTATTTTATTATTATTTTTTTTTGGCTACACAATACTTTAGTGTATAATATGTGTATAGTCTAAATGTGTTAGCCTAAGCTAACTGTCCAAAAAAATATTTTTATTATTATATATATATAAAAGGTATTTGAGTGTAAACTAAAAATAATAATACAATAATACAATAATGCTTAGTATAACACATTCCTTATTTATATACTTATATATATTATCAATACATTACATAACATCTATAAAAAACAAAAATATTTATTTATTTATTTTTTGGTCAACTGTTGATGGATTTTGTTGCTATTATTTTAAAGTTTATTTTTTTTAATAATAACAATAGATTCTCAAACTTTATATTAAAGTCAATGGCAATATTCACGTCATATAAAATATTGAGAAATTTAAAAAAAAAATTATATTAAAGGCTATTATTTTGATAAAATCATTTTGATTAAGAAATAGTAATTAAAGCCCAATTAAAAGTCAATATAACTTATAAACAAATCTATAATATTTAAAAATAATTATAATAGAAAAATATGACATTTTAGGTCAATTCAATTATAAAAAAATAAGTGATTAAACTCAAAATACACACACATATACAGTATATACACACACAATATATAACCTAATCAATACATATACAGTATATATATATATATATATATATGACTACAGTATTACACATATTATTAACCAACAAAAAAAAGTTTAATTAAATAAAAATATTTATAAAAAAAATAATTGACATTATTTTCAACAACAAAAATTAAAGCTCACCTCAGATCGACATTTATTTATTTTATTTTTATTTATTTTTGAAGCACAATATTATTATTATTACATTATTATCAAATAATTTTTGTTTTCAGAGAAATACAGTATTCAAATAATTACACAATCAATAAAAAATGATTTTTTTAAATATATATATTTATATAATGTTTTGTTTTATTATTATTAATTATTAATTATTAATTTTCATTTTATATAACATTTTTTTTTAAATTAAAAAATGTGATGTCAGGAGTGTATAACACTTTTTGTTTGTTTTGTTTTGTTTTGTTTGTCTCTCAAAGAGGTGAGACCTGATGCATACCGGTCTCATACATGCCTCCTGAACTGCCATCTGAGGAATAGCCTCCGTGCCTATGGGCCTATAATTATTAAAAAAGGGGCGAAAGAGGGAATGGTAGATATAGTTTTTTGTTTGTTTGTTTGAATTTATTTGAATATATGGTTTGAATATTTATGACATTTAATTGTTATCTTATCTCTATCTCATTAAAAAAAATAGCCATCATTTTATACTGTCTGTTATACATCAATGATATATACAGGTGCTATACTATTCAAAATTTTACCAATGGTGATACTACTACTACTACTACTACTAATGATAATATAACCTAGATAAACTAAACTTAACAAATTATAATTTTGCTGCCTATTAAAATTATAACTATATTAAAATAAAATTTTTAAACAAAAAAAAATCATTAAACCTAAATAATTCAATTATAGACATATTTTTAGACATAATTAATTGGGAACTTTTTTCCCACTAAATTAATTGAAACTAAAAAAAAAATTTAATATTATAATTGACGTTAAAAAAAAGTTTAGTTAGTTTATGTTAGTTGACAGTAATGGCTGTATTATACAAGTAAACTACTAATACTACTACTACTACTGCTAATTGTTTGTATTGTTTTGTTGTTTGAGGTATGCCTTTACCTGACTTCCATAATCACCATTCATAGACCATCCATCCTGTGAGCTACCGGGTGGTGGCGGCGGACTCATTATATTCCCTGAGCCCTGTGATGATGGCGTTAAACCGTATGGGGACGAACCAGCTATACATATACCATATGAAAATATATATATAGATATAATAGGGATACGTATATATTTTGATTGATTTTTGATTTTTTTTTATTATAGAGGCAATGTCTACCATTACTTATATATATATATATAGATAGATAGATATAAATTTTGTGATAACACACACACACACACACATACACACAACAGTTATGACCAACAAATAAAACAGACAAACTTTTATTATATATATATAATTACTCGATAGAGAAAAAAAATGTCATTCAATTGATTTAATAAACAAAAAAAAACATTGAAATAAAATATTGAAATTACAAAACAAATATACAGTATATATCAATATATTATATAACCAAAAAAAACTATTTATCGCTAAAGAAAATTATTGGCAAATAAATCCAATGCGAAAAATAAAAATGTTTAGCTATTATTTAATTGTATTTATTATCTATAAAAAAAAAGTTTGGGCCTAAAAGTAATGGCTAGTGTGTGAGTGTGAGTGTGTGTATGTCAATAGGTTTGATGTATTAACGTTGAGTCCATTTCTCTAAATGTCAACTCAACTGTAGATAAATGAGATACCCTTTTTTGCTTAAGAGTGTGTTTGTGGGGGAGGGAGGGAGGGGAGGAAATGGTGTGATGGAGAGAGACTTATATTTTTTGAGAGGACATGGAGTTAGAGAGAGAAAGAGAGAGAGAGAGATATTAAGCAAATGGCATCGCAAATGTATTAAGAGATGGTTTATTGTATTGCAATCTACTTGTATAGTACAGTATGTATGGATGTATAGATGGGTTATATCACAGTAAAAGACAAGTAATATCGGGAACCGATAAGAGATTGTTTGTGCCATTAAAATATTGGGACACAAATGCTTGCATTGCATCACATAATTGTTGTCAACAACTAAAATAAAACATATAAAAAAAACTATTGACTACTAATACAACTAAAATTTTTGTTGTTGTTGTCGTCTCTGTCGATAGAAAATTGTTTTTTCTTATTGTTTTATATATATATTATTGAATGACTACTACTTTAATAGTTAGTTATTATATACTGTTACTGTATATATATATATATATAGGATATATCTATGATTTTATTTTGCAATGCCATACAATTTATTAATAGTAAACTCATTTTGCAAAGTAGTTGTTTATATACAGTATATATATATAGTATATACTATATGTGTGTCCTAACAATAGCCATTTGCCTCAATTGAATAAACTATTGTCAACAATATAACTAACAAACAAACAAATAATAGACAGAGAAAAAAAATCAAATTCAATCTTAAAGTCCAGAGAAAAAAATAAATAACAATTGCTTATAAACAAAGAGAAACAAAAAACAATATATTTTTTAAAAAAAATTGTTGAAAAAAGTTTATCTCATTTTTTTTGTGTATTGACTTTCAAAACCCATAGCAATCCTTTTATTTATTAAATATATTATACACACAGTATGTGAATCTCTTATTATTATTATTATTATTATTATTAGTATAAGTATACTAATATTTATAATAGTAATTACTATAATAGTATAAAACAGTATTATTATTATTGTTATGAAAAATATTATATATATATATATATCTAGTTGTCTCTCATCATATCATATATATATGAAAGACACAAACAATTGCACACAAAAATACAGTACAATTATTTTGATTAAATTCACTACAATTATTGAAACACACACACACAGAAACATAGAAAAATAAGCCCAAAAATATATATATATAAAATATTAACTATATATATATATATAAATAATATATATTATAGCAATAAATTAATGTCTATTTAGGAAAATTGTGTCCAATAGTTTAGATTAAAAAAAAGTCATTGTATTGTACAGAGTATATCATCATATTATATACTGTAATACATAAACAGTATATATATAATCATTTTTTTGTTATCTAACCAAACTATATATATATATGATATATATATAAAATAATAATAATAATAATACTGTAGTTAACCGGTTTAAATAGCAGAGCTAATCATATTTTATCAAATTAATGAATTTTTTAATATATACTGTATATAAAATATAATATAAAAAGCTTTAAAACTATTTAGTTTTTATTATTATTATTATTATATTCTTCAATGAACTAGTTTATGATTTCAAAGACACTTTTTTTGTTGTTTGATAATAAATTATTGTTTTTTGTGTGTGTGAATCGTTTCACATATATATATATAAATACAATATAAAAGTACTAATAATAATAATGATAATCATATAAATAATAATAATAAAAAATAATACTAAGACTGAGACACACATATATATAAATGTATTAAATATATATAAAATTAAAGTCAAAGTGAGAAAAAAATAAAAATAATAGTTGGGGTAAATGAGTTGATACCCTACTATTTAAACACATCATATTATATATAACTTATAATATATATTATATATAAGTGTATATAAAATCTAAGGCCTATATATAAATACCGATATATATATAAAATGAAAGTGAAAATGAGATTTGCTTTTAACATATATATATAACATAACATTACATTACATAACATAACACACATAAGTAAAATAGCTTTGACTTTCCGAGTTTTATCTTTTCAATACAGACTCTCAAACTTTCTCTCTCTATAATAATAATAATAATAATAATCATACATAACTGCCTCAAAACTCTAAGTCCAAATTATAGCACCAGCAGCTATAAGGCCGGTGCTCTCACAGCACACACACTTGCATAGCTAGTTGTGTATTAGTTAGCTGACTACTACTACTAGTACTGGTTTGGCATATCTCTATAGTCTATACTAGACTATAGTACGGCTTATATAACATACCATACCGTATATACAGTATATGTTTGTGTTAATGGAAAATAGAGATTATATTATTATTATTATTATTATTATATATATATATATAAAACTATAAGGTCTTTACCAGAAAAACGGCCTAACATTTGTATAGACAATACTAACAACAACAACAATAGTCAGTTCACTTATTTGATATTATTGTCTGACTGCCATCACAATCAGTACATAGCATCCATAGCATAGACCCCATAATTTATGGGCATATATGGCGTATAAAAGCTATTGTAATTGTCAACAACAACAACAAAAAAAAATAAAACAAAAAAAACATACACACAACTAAAAATATTTGCAGACATATACTGTATATTAAGCCCATTGACTAAACATTTAACTCATATATATATATATAAATTATAGAAATATAAAAATACAAATATTACATAAATATATAATATTTTGTTATTGAAGCTATAATAATATCATAGTTTTTTTCCTAGAAAATTAGTAGTCATATATTTTTTGTTGTCCCAAAACTATAAACTTTAGAAAATAAATATATTGTTATTATTTTTTCCTCCCCCAAAAAAAAAATATAATCGTATATAAAATTCAATGATAATTATACTAATAAATAATAAATATATGTCTCGTTGAACTAAAACTTTTGAAAATAGTTGTTTATATATATGTCTATACTGTTTGAATGTATAACTAAATCAAGTTTCTTATATTATCAATATATATATAAAATAAATAAATTAAAAACAAAAAAAAAATAACATTTTTCAAAAAATTAAGTAATTAAATTAAACGAATTTTGCACAAAAAAAATATTAAAACAAAATAATAATAATAATCATAAATTTTCGTTTAAGCTAAAAGCTAACCAACAAAAAAATAAATAAATAAATGTCAATCATTAATAAATTAAATTTGTCATTGAAAATAACAACAACAACAACAAAATGAATTGTTTTATACTAACAATAATAATAATAATATTGATAATAAATAAATATAAATATATATATTGTTTATGATTGACAGGGATTACCACTACGTGGATAGGGATCTGATAGATGAAGTAATAAGAGAAGGCCACTACCGCTGAGACATAATTCAAATATTTATGTATTGTTTTTATCTCTGTCTCTCTCTCTCTCTCTCTCTCTCTCTCTCTCTCTCTCTATCCATATATATTTAAGGCATGATCTATAAGACATGTGTTTGATATTTACAACTACAACAACACAACTATAACTTAACAGCTACTACATCATCATATATGAAGAAAATATATGATATATACATACATACAAAAAAAACTAATAAATATAATAAAATGCTATTTTTAATGGCTTTCAATGTCAATAAAATATATATATATATAAATAAATATTTAAAAAGCCAACAAAACACACAAATATTTTGAGAGAGAGAGAGAGAAAGAGAGAGAGAGAGAGAGAGAGAGAGAAAAAGAGAGAATCTTAGCGCAAAATTGGAGGTCAATACAAATTTTTGTATACATATATCTATCTATATATTATTTATATATATATTGACACTAATATAGTCGTCTATCAACTATCGCTTAAAATATGATATTAATCAATAAAATGTCATTTAAAATATGATATATATAGTAGATATTGAGTATTAAGTGTGTGTGTGTGAGTGTGTATGTGATTGAGACAAGTGAGTGGCAAACATGATAAATGTAAATCAAGTGTTTTATATAAAACATGTATATATAATATCTCAATATATATATATAGGCAATGATTAACTTAATAATACTATCAAATACTAACAGTACTAATGCCTAATAATAATATTAAAATAATTTTATTTTAAAAAAAATGACAAATAAGTGTCACAATTAATTACCAGCTTTTTTGGCGGCGTATAGATTGGCTTCTTCTTGAGCTTTGCCGATGTTTTTCTTATACCTAATTCTCTTGTTTCCAAACCAATTGGATACCTGTCCACCAAAAAAACAACAACAATATTATTATTTATGTTTATATAAAGTATTTATAATCAAATTAAAATTCAACTACCGGTAAATATCAAATTAACAAAAAAATAATTATTATTATTAACCCCACATAAAAAACTACATGACGTGTGTGTGTGTGTCATATCTTTAGTTATCAAAATGTTTTTGTATTATTTAAATAAAAAATTTAAGACAATTTTTTTTAAAAAAGACAATAACACACACACATACACACACACACACACACACACCTACATACATACATACATACATACATACATACATACATACATACATACATACATACATACATACATACATACATACATACATACATACATACATACATACATACATACATACATACATACATACATACATACATACATACATACATACATACATACATACATACATACATACATACATACATACATACATACATACATACATACATACATACATACATACATACATACATACATACATACATACATACATACATACATACATACATACATACATACATACATACATACATACATACATACATACATACATACATACATACATACATACATACATACATACATACATACATACATACATACATACATACATACATACATACATACATACATACATACATACATACATACATACATACATACATACATACATACATACATACATACATACATACATACATACATACATACATACATACATACATACATACACACACACATACACACACACACACACACACACACACATACATACATACATACATACAAACACACACATTATCTGTTAAGTAGTTGTCAACTAATTACTGGCCATTTGGAGGGTTTTTTTGTGGGGGGATTTAACAACAAATAATTTGTTAGATAACAACTAAGATTATGATTGAGATTAAGATTAAAAGTGATTAACAGATTATCATCGGTTAATGACTACAACTTACTTGAGATACAGTAATACTACACTTTCGGGCTAACTCTTCCTTGGCTTCTTCACTCGGATACGGATTACTCAAATGTGAATAAAAATATTCATTTAATATTTCTGTCGCCTGTTTGCTAAAGTTTCGCCGTTTTCTCCTATTTTTTAATAATTAAACAAAAAATAAAACATTAATATACACCAAATATATATATATAAATAAAATATTTTAGGAAAATTTATTTAATAAATTAATAAAAATAATAATAATAAACATTCATAATATGAAATATTTACTGTATAGTTGTTTAAATTCACTAATAGTAATACTATAGAGTAGACTATAGAGTATCTAGAAATTGATTATTATTATTATTATTATTGTATAATTATATAATGATAAAATCAATATTATTAATTAATTAATTAATTAACTAAACAAAAATCCTAGCGATTTTATAAACTAGTGATGTTTGAAAATTAATTGAACTTAAATTATACGTAAAATCAATCAATATATGTGTGTTTTCTCTCATTTAAGATTTATTAAAGTGTTTAACAATTTATCTATTATATAAAATATAATGATAATTTTTTTTTTGGTGGTTTGTTTGTTATTTATACAAAAATCAAATACCGTTTTTAACTAAAACAACAAATTTCTAAAAATCTATTACTAAAATCTCTGAAATGTTATATTAAAGAGAGAGAGAGATTAAGAGGATATCGGGGATCAATGATCAGAATAATGAGGATATGTATCATTAAATTATATGTTTATGACGACCACTAGTTTAAGTAATGTTAATATATATATATCTAAAGGGTATACTACTAGACCATTAGACACATAGACAACACACATACCTGGCATCCAAAAACCTGGACCTGAGGATCATAACAGCTTCACAGGTGCTTTGTTTGAGCTGTACTTGAATTGAATTAAACTTTTTATGTATGATTTGGACCATCCGTTCAATTTCTTTGGGTGTTATCGGACGCGTCCGACTCTGTTCTCGTAACAGATTCATTACATGTGTTGTAAACTCATTGCAGGCCTACAATTGAAAATAAAAAAAAATCAAAATAAATATTAAATACAAAAATTTAATTAATTAATTAAATACTATTGTAAACACACATAAGGTGTGTCATAATTAAATAGTTAAATAACATAAATAATTTAAAAATAATTTATAACTAATACACATTGATTTACACGAATTTTCGTTAAACTTTTAATAATAATATTAAAACAATAAATTTACATAAAAATTAAATATATTTAAAAGTTTTAATATATATATATATATATATAGTTTATTAATAATATTATTTTTAAGATAATTGTAAATTTAGTAGTAGTAATAATTTAGTAAATTTACATGGGTAAAAATATATACAAATAATGCCATAGATGGCGCATAGTGTATCACACTTAACATTATTCAATGTAAAATTTTTAAGTGAAAGTTTAACCAAAATAAAATAAAATTATGTAATTTATTTTTTGTGTTAAATTTTAATATTTGTTAAATTTAATTAAATATAAAATTAATACCTGATATATTTTATTTTTTAAAAAAAACATAAAAATTCATAATTTTGTATAGCATTGTGTACTGTTATAATTGTGTACTAAATATATAAATAATTGCAATTAATAATATATATATTATAAATAAAGTTGTATAATATTTGAATATATTGTATTAATAATAAAATAATATAAACTTATCGACGATAGTATAAGATATATATATATAATATATCATATATTATATCATATAATTAAGATCATTATATTGCATATAGCAATTGTATCATCAAATTATACATAATATGATGTGTTTAAAGATAGATAGATAGACACAAATCAAGTGAAATAGTAGTCGGATTTTCAAAATTATATGTATATGTGTTTTTGGATAGTGTTATCTCTATGGGCTTATGGTGTGCTAATTATTAGCAAATGTTTGGCCATTTTCACTGCATCTATGAAAAGTGAGTGTTAGTAGTAGTAGTAGTAGTAGTAGTAGTAGTAGTCTAGTGTAGTGTCAGATTGAAGGCACAGACACATACATACACACCAACCAAACCAAACACAATATATACCGATCCATCAAATGGATGATCCGTTTAAGTGAGACTTAGATGACATCATAGTCTCTCTCTCTCTAATATATATTTGTATATATAGTTTTTTTTTCTCTCTCTCTCTCCAGTTATGAAACAAAATTAAACACATTATTGACGACTAAATACAGTATATATATTTAATATAAGAAACAAAATTATTATATTATATGAAACAATGATTTACACCAATAAACTAACAGAAAATACATTATATATATATATATATTTTCAACAAATATTAGTTGCCCTCCAATATATATATATGATATATACTGTAATACATATTGCAGCAGAAAACTCCTGTAAACTATATATATATATATATATATAACTAACTAAATATAATAAGTTTAATATAATATATAAATGTTTGGTATTTTTGTATTAAAAGAAATTTATATAATATTTCAAAAAATAGAGAGAGAGAGAAAAGATAACATCTGTTGTGTTTATATGTGTGTTTCAAAACTCTATTGTTTCTGTTATTACATAACATTTTTCTCATCACTATTTCACTCAACTATTCTCTCTCTCTCTCTCTCTCTCTCTCTCTCTCCTATGTAGGATTCAAACCTGGCTTATACTCAATCAGGTTTGGCTATATATATTGCTGTACAGTATTATATATATATATAAGGGAGAGTGATATACAAGGGAGATGGGGGTCGTCAATGTATAGGGGCAGGCATTCTTATATTAAATGCAATATAACATATACAGTATACATATATACTGTATATATATATATGTAAAGTACAGTACAAAGAAAAATATAAAATACATAGAAAACTATGAACTTTTCATATTATGTATGAGTTTTGATGTGTGTGTGTGATGGCCGACACAAACCTATGAAAAGTAGGAAAGAGAGAGAGAGAGAGAGAGAGAGAGAGAGCGGACTCATACAGTGAGAGTGAGTATGAAAGTTGAGGGATAGTTAGATAGAGATAGAAAGATAGATGCCTTTACTCAAGCTATACACACTGTATCTATATATTATATGACAGTCTATATGGTGGGCCCAACCATATACTGTATATAAATATATATTTTGCTGGCACTTTGCCTGTTTATAACCTTGATTTTTTCAACAAAAAAAAATAAATACTAAAAAAATTATACTATATTATGCATGAATTATGCATTATCTGTCTATCTATCAATCCTATCTATATATGATTTTATTTAACTATTTTAATTTACAGTACAAAAAAACAACCTACCCTTACATAATATATATTATATACTGTATATATCTCCTAAAAATTAATCGCACTAACACTTTATCCTATATTGAATATATAATCTCATCTCTTAATGTATACATATATACAATACACAGAGTATTTTTATTGAAAATTTCAATAAAATATTTTTAAGACTACTTTTATTTATGTAATTTATATATATACAAAAAAATATAATGCTTTTTTAAAAAATAGACATAGATCAACCTAGCTAATTATTAATTATCATAAATAATTAATAAAATTTATAATAGTTTAACAAAATAATAAGCCATGTCCTAATTTAAAAAATATAATAATAAATCATTTAAAAACTAAACGTATTATATGTGAAACAATAATATAATTTCTGATTTATTTGTGATATAATAAGTTTTGAATTTTTTTTAAAAAAAAGTATGAATTCATATATAATAAAATATCTTATTATTATTTAAAAAATAAAAATAAATATTATTCAGTGTTAAACATGACGTTTATTTGGATGAACGGCACAAATATAACAATTTATATAAATGTTTATAAACTGAATAGTAGTATAAAACAATAGTAAAATCCGTTTATATAACAAAAAAAGACATTGTTTTTGAATATGACTTATTGACTACTCTTTTAAAATAATACAATACAATATATTTTGCTCATTAATTAGGGCCCTCTCTCTCTCTCTCTCTCTCTCTCTCTCTCTCTCTCTGAATACTCATATAAATGGTAGACTCATAATAATTATCCGTACAATTAAAATAGCACAATGAATATGAATAATAATACCAAATTTTTCATATAATATACATATAAATGATAAATATACATATATGAAAAATTTACAGCTAAAATAACAATTAGTATATGTTAGTGTATATATTAGGGTACAAAAATTTTGTTAATATAATAATAATACTAAAAAATGCCATTTTTAAAAACACCATTATGTCAGTGTTAAATATAAATTGATAAAACTTTTTATAAGCAATAATAAAAGTAAAATAAATACAATATATATATATAAATTAAATTATATAGAGAGCTAACCAAAAAAAATGTTGTCTAATTTTATCAACAAATTTATGACCACATTTAAGAAATTAAAAACAAAAAACAAAACATTTCTACTCTACTCTCTCTCTCTCTCTCACTCTCTCACTGATTGTATGAATATATTTAAAGTCAAGTTTGAAGTCACGAACAATTGATTGATTGAATGGTTAGTTTATGTAATGTCTTGAATAAAATAAAATAAAATGAAAAAAAGTTTTTACTCAGAAATGAAATGAGAAGAGAGAGAGAGAGAGAGAGAGAGAGAGAGAGAGAGAGAGAGAGAGAGAGAGAGAGAGAGAGAGAGAGAGAGAGAGAGAGAGACAATATAAATGCAATTTTAGCCCAAAGCTAATCACAAGAACCAGAATAAAGTTATTAACCTTTTTTGTGGCTAAAGTTTTTCTCATTTTATTTTCTAAATATATATATATATATAAATTTTATTTTATTAAATGAGAAAAAACCCACAAAAAATTGAATGCTATGCTTAAACATATTTAGCAAAAAAAAAAGTTTCAATATTAGATATTTTTCATTCAAAATACAAAACATAGCATCAAACCTATAAAAAAATATATATACACAGTATATATATTATATAAAAAAATTCATTTTTGCTATTTTTATGGATCAAAATATTAATAAATTTGATATATAGTTATAAATAATTTTTGTTGTTGTTGTTATTATTGCATATATAATATATTTAATAAATTAGAAATGCGCCTCTAATTGAAACAAAAAAAAATTCAATCAATTAGATTTGAAACATTTAGACAATTTTTGTTTTAATATAAATATATTTTTTGTGTGTGTATGATATCAGGAAATATCGTGCAAAATATATGACACAAAAAATAGATGATACAAAAAAATAATATGAATAATATCATAACAAACAAACAAAGATATCATATTTTACATGTACTGTATATATATATATATATAATAGTAATAAAATACTAACTAAAATGCATTTTGTGTTGACATTATTAACATAACCACTAAAAATTGATAAAAATAATAAATAATAATAAAATGATTTGAAAAATGTTTTCTAGTGTGTTATCACTTGTGAACAACAACGACAACAAAAAATATTAGTAATATTGTCGTTGATATCAATAGAGAAAAAAATAATAAAATAAAATATTTAAAAAAATAAAATTCAAAGATATTGTCAAATAATATTGTAGAAGATTTCCATTATATGAATAATGATTTATATATATCTATTTTATGGACCCTTAACATAGACAGCAATGTTATGGTCAACATTAGCAGCACTATTAGCAGCAGCACTGGTATTATATATATATATATATATGATAGGGAAATAAACAACAAACTAAATGTTTAAACATGTAGTTATTATGGTAGGGGTATCCACAAAATGATAGGGTTTTTAACAACACAACTATCACTATATATATATATGTGTGTGTGTTTGTATGTACAGTATGTCTATATATGTGTATGAATAGATAGACAGATAGTAGTAATACACCTGAATAATACATGGCAATGGGGCTAATAATAATAATACCATTAATAACACATTACTTAAATGGTATGACTTCTCTCTATCTCTAAACATAACATACAATATATATATATAATTTGGTAATAATATT